ACGAGTTGCTACTGGGACTGAATGCTACTAAACGAACTGGTTTGCCACCCAGTTCCAGTGTACTGACTCAGGACAAGTATCACTATTACTCAGCATGCAAATTGAAATAACAACTGATCATGTTAGGATCTACCAGAAATGATATATAAGCAAGTTACTAGAACGTTTCAACTGGACCGAAGCTAAACCATTTACAATCCCAATCAAACTACACACAATACTGATGAAGGCCACCAATGACAATGAATTGTATGAACAGTGATCATACTAGTCCATAATAGAATCCTTGATGTATGCCACTGTTACAACATGACTAGACATCGCACATGCCCCTGCCTTTCTAAACCAGTTCTCCTTATAACCTACAATCACTCACCTCAAAGCTGCTAAAGAGTACTATAATATAGTAAAGGAAAGAAAACCATAGGTCTACAATATATCCATAATACGAGTAATACACCACTTTAGCTATAAAACAATGTGTTGTTTACCTCAAACCTCAAAGACAGAAAATCATTTACTGGATTAATTGTTCAAATATATGGTCATACAGTAATCTGGCATTCAAAGAAACAAAAAACTGTTGTCACATCAACTACAGAAGCTGAGTATGTTGCACTCACCTTTGCAGCAAGCTAAAGTGTATGGTTAAGAAGAGGGATGTCATGTATGGAAATCAACTTGAACACTATACCGACTATCCATTATGACAATACAGCTACTATAAAGTTAACTGAAAACACCAGTGTATCTGATCAAACAAAACATATCGATGTACAACATCACTATACAAGGGAGTTGAGGGAAAATGGAGAAATTGAGGTAAAAAGAGTTAATACAGAGAACAACTTAGTGGATATATGTACAAAAGGATTGGTTAGAGTATTATTTGAAAGTTTTCTGGTTAGGTTAGGAATAGAACCATAGGGAAAGTGTTGGAAATTACATCATTCCTTTCCGATCCAGTGGTGGGACTGTGTTGGTCATGTGATACAGCCACATGACCGAGTATATATGCTATTGTATTTTAGCATCTTCTAGAGATTTCCTTAGTATGGGGCAGTGCTTGTATAACAATAAAGGGGTATATAAAGGGAAGGTTCAGCCCTGTTCTTAGAGAGAGAGCACAAGCTTGGATTAATCTTTAAGTCTTCGGATTTTATTGTGGTTATCATTATTACCTTGTTATCACAACAGTTAGTACAATAGATACAAATATTTTCACATAGTCCCAACTGTGAGTGTATATCTCAGCTTGGCAAGCCCACAACTTTATGTACATATAGAGACAGATCTCCACTCTCTGAATGTTAAAAACTTTCCTTGATTCCTAAAAGTATCACAACACTTCTGAGTTCCACTCTGTGTCCACATCGGTATCTCTCCTCACCACAATCGCGACTGCACGATTCGTCTACCTCCATCAGCACATATAACCTCACAGCTTAGATTCTATATCATGAGACTTGACAAGCTGCAGCACCAGGATGACAATACTTTTGATTTAGTAAAACCCTGCGATGTCCTGATTAGATTTAAGATCATAATATGCCTAAAGCGCGCTATCTTCGAGAAGGATACGGTAGGGTTCCGACTGTGGATTCTCAAATTATATGCCGAAGGCTGGTACAGCGCGTTTGGGAAGATTATGTCTGAAATCTTGGTGTAGTAGCGACATCAGATCTAAGTCTTTAGTAATTTAGTAATCTAGTAAGCCCCGCAAAGCAGGTGATAGGTGTAGCACTCAGGCTCCTTTGATTAAACAAAATCTAAATTTGTGTGGTAGTAGATGATTGTAATAGTGCGGACACTTCACGAGACACGGGAGCATGTGCTCCACAATACTGTGTAATTCAAGCCAGTGGCGCACTGCAGGGGCGTAGCGATCAAGATGAGAAGAGAGAATAGTTATGAAAGACGCGTGTACAAATAAATACAGAAATCTGAAGACCAGCAATTGGGGTCTCCCACCCGGCGCGAGATTGGTAGAAGAACTACTCCTCTAATGTACAATGTTTGGCAAATTCATTCATTAATTCCTAGAAGTAGTCAGTAGAGATTTTGAGGGGTAGTTATATATGGGAAACCATACGTCAAAGTCGCAATCAACCATACTCCCAAATATGGGGTTCCTTTCACCGATTCTCTCCATGCGGATTCGGGGGCTTGATATGCCGAATGCGACCTTTGCCAATAGCCTAGGGTCGTCCCGCACCCTACAGCCTTTTAGGACCTCTTCGAGACGGTAGGGATCAACTGGGGACTTCTTAATTATAGGTTTTGAGAATGTAAGCGGCTCCCTTGTGTTACAGAACTGGCATTTCCCGCAGCCCTCCGATTTAACTGAGTTCTCATCACCAAAATATTTTGCTAGGCCCTGCGCGATACATCCAGGACTGGTAATGAGCTCAATCACATTTTTGCTGCGCCTGAGATCATCCATCTCGCGTTGCTCCATCTGCTCATAAGCTTTGTCGATCAATTCTTGGATATCTGCTTCATCCTTTGGGAATGGTTTGAGAATACGATAGCGTTGGTGAACCCTGCCAGGATTTAATTCTATCAGCCCCTGGGCCGAAAAGCTCTGCATTCTATAGACTAGTTCCTCGCGCTTGAATCCATGCTCCTGGCTGAGTTGATCAATATCCACGGATCTCATCATTGATTTTCGTTTAATTTTCTTTTGCATGCTCTCTAGCAAAACTTTTGTGATGGGATCGTCGGTAGCGGTAAAACTCGCAAAACCATCGGACTGCACAAACCTGTATGTCGAGTACTTTGGTGTGATGGCCCGCAAAAGCTCAAAGCGAAGCTCAAGTTGGGAATAGAGAAGGTTAAGAGCGTTTATCTGGTTTACACCATTAGTCTTCAAGATTGTGATGCAGTAAAACGAGGAGACAACTGACTTTGATATCATGATTCCTGCTTTGCAGATTGATATCCGTCTCTATGACATCACCGACCTCAACCCCCTCATTCGATGCGAACAGCTCCCTTAGAAGGTTGTTAACACTCTTTTTGCTTGGCAGATCCAGGCGGCAAAAAAATTCACGTTGGACCCAGTCCTCTCCGCAGAGATAGAGCATACACTTGCTCTCGTTGCCGTCACGGCCGGCGCGTCCAATTTCTTGACTGCGGCTGTTAGATCGGGAACCCAGAGACAGGGGCCGTCTGGGCCAGTTACATACCTGTAGCCCTCTAAGCTACGCGGGAAGTCGTAATGGACAATATTCCTGATATCGGGCTTATCAATGCCCATACCAAAAGCAATCGTGGCAACAATCTGACCTCGGAGAGGACAATTAGCAAAGCAATAATAGTGCGTATAAGATTTGCTCCGTAATATTACCGTTAAATCGTTCCGGTTCATAAATTCGTCTTGAGCATATGATCTTTCATCTTTGGTCATACCAGCATGATAATGCATTGCCTCCACCCCAGCCACAGTCAAGGCCTGGGCTACTACTTCGGCTTGCTAGGAAAGTGCATTAGAATTACATTTGTATAAAAAGGGGGCAAAGAGACCTTGGACTAAAGAATTCGTATGAGGGGAGCCGGAAGTGGAGACTGACCTTCTGAGTGGTGACATAGACGATAGATGATCCAGGATTCGAGTACAAGAAATCAGATAGCTTAGCTAATTTGCCCTCAATTGTCTCAAAGTGCTCTGCCAGAAGTGAAAGACTAAGCAGGATCGTCAGCAAACTGATTATCTATAGGTTACGAGAGAAAACAACATAACCGGCTCCTACAAAATAGGCACTTACTTCTCTCTATAGGTAGGGTTTTTGAACAGCCCACTCTCCGGAACACCGAAGGCTTTCAAGATATCCTTGCAAACTTTTGGCGTAGCCTTAAGATGAAGTATTAGTTTATTGCGTCAACATTCCAACCGAGACAAAGTGGTAATGGTATTGAAACACGGGGTTCTCATAGAGTAGGCGGCAACTTACGGTAGCCGTGAGACACAGAACTCTCTCTGCATTCATTTCCTTGACAAACCGAGCAACTATTGCGCCAAAAGAGTAATCAGCAATGAAGCCTTATAGCGGGAGCGAAGACTGACCCTTGAGATAGTCAGGCCTAAATGCTTGTCCCCACTCAGAAATGCAATGGGCTTCGTCAACGGCTATCAAGCGAACACGAGTGCGCCTAACCATTTCAACAAAAGCTTCGTTGTTGAGACGTTCAGGCGCGCAATAACTCGAGGTCAGAGGCTAGTTAGCTGGTATCAAACAAGATATCATTGTACGAGCTTACAGTAACTTCAATTCTCCCTTCCTCAAAAGATCATAGGTATTAAGGATAGATTCACGTGTCTGCGTAGAATCAATGGCCGCAGCTTTAACACCTCTTTTTTGGAGAGCCTCGACTTGATCCTTTGAAAAAAGCCACCGCATTAGAAAACTCAACATTCCCCCATTGAGATATCAAATGACAAACCTTTATTAGAGCAATCAAAGGGCTGACAACAATCGAGATGCCTCCCTTTTCTTGGCCCATGCTCTCGTCATGCTCGTCGAGAGCCAAAGCAGGAATTTGGAAAGCTAAACTCTTACCGCCACCTGTGGGGAAAACGATGACTGCGCTCCCTCCATGGATCAATCTGGAAATAACTTTCTCCTGTTGCGAACGGAACTCGTTGAATCCCCAAGTCTCTCTCATGATTTTATGGGCAAGCTCTGAAGTGGCTGGGTATTCGGTAGTATCATTGGGGTCGATTCCCCTAGAGTGATCCGAACCAGATCCCTTCCGCCCCCGTTTGAATCGAGTCCACTTACGACCGGAGGCAGGTTTCGCGGGTTCAGCCCTTTGGTCGCTCCCATACTGGAAGAATTGTGCTTCATTTTCAGAGTCAAAAGCATGGCTCTCTTTCACTTGCGTGTACGAGGATCGTTCTTCAATTTCAAGTTCAAAAGTATGGCACTCTTCCACTTGCATGTGCCATTGTGCTTCATTTTCAGAGTCAAAAGCATGGCTCTCTTCCACTTCTTGCATGCGCGAGAGTTGTGCTTCATTTTCAGAGTCAAAAGCATGGCTCTCTTCCACTTCTTGCATGCGCGAGAGTTGTGCTTCATTTTCAGAGTCAAAAGCATGGCTCTCTTCCACTTCTTGCATGCGCGAGAGTTGTGCTTCATTTTCAGAGTCAAAAGCATAACGCTCTTCCGCTTCTTCCATGTTTAAACCGCCCCGACCGCGCGAGGCCGTCGTTGAGAACGGCGAGACAGTAACAAGTGGGGTATTCTGTCCATTGAATCGTAAAGGCGGTGGTGGAGGATGTAGGGTGACGTGCCCGAAGGAGGACATTGGTCCCACCACACGAATACTGAGACTCGGAAAACGCACGACACGGGATCGATAAGCGAGTGCTCGGTAAGCCATTGCGGTGATGTTTGGTGGAGAAATGCTGTAAATTGAAAGGAACTCGCACCGCAGGTAAAACAAAGTTGTTGCCGGAAGGACTGGAGGCTCAATAAACAGTCCTGGGTGAAAAACAAACAATTTTTCCCCGCTGGGTACCCTACCCTAATCTACTTCTGGTATCATATCTAAGCTAAGGTATTACAGCATGACGTGATAAAGGGGGGATGCGATGTGTGATAAGATCCCGTTTCGGGTGATGCTGTGTGAGAGCCTAAAAGTTGATCTGCGGGTTTGCCTCCTCCTTATTACTCTACGAGTACTACAAGTATCATAGTACAAGCGCAAGTATGATAGCTCGTTTGTGACACCTTTCTCTTCCGCCTGTACTCGCAGCTCGCACCTCAAGTATTCGAGCACGGTACAGTACCGATATCATAAGGCAGAACACAAAATCAGCCCTTCGCCTCAACAGCACAACAAACTTTCGAGCATCCTGCCAAGTTCCATCTAGGGGGCCCAATCGCCCTCGGCAATATTCCCACAATCCTCTCTGCACACTTTTGCCCATCCCGGCGAAATCGCTCCACCCTTGCTCTCCGCTGCGGTCTCCAATAAGGAAGGAAAATTCTGCGGAGGATAAAAAATAGAGGAAGCTCTGCACTTTCAACCCGACAGAGCAGGGCACACTGAACTGATCCGATAGCCACTATACTCCAGTATGCCCCGACCTTTTAAATGGGGAGAATATTTCAACAAGGACACGCCGCTCCCTAACCGCTCGAATAAATACCAAGTTACCTGCCTCAAATGTCAAAGACAGATACCCAAAGGGAGGTTGGAAGATCGTACTCGTCACCTGATCGACGAGTGCCCGGGACTGAGTCCGGAGGATCGCATGACGGTGGTTGAGGTTGACATTAGAGATCGGGAAGCGGCCGAAGCTGCGGCGGAAGATCGAAATGCAACAGGTAACAAAATCAAAAGGCCTAGAAACGCCTGGGTCAAGAGCAATTTTACGGAGGCAGGGATAGCGGAGCTCTCGAGGCTCCTCAGAGCTCACCATCCAGTTGAAACTGAGACAGATTGGGCTGGAGTCCTCGGTGAGTATAATATTTGGGCGCACAGGAACGGCTGCAGAAAGCACACCCTCGATAGCCTGAAGAGACAATGGTACGTTATAAACTTCGAATGGGAGGGTATAAATACGATACTATCTAACACTAAGGAAGTAGGGAGCCTCGCGTCAAGAATGCTCCTGGGAGGACAATCTACAACTACGCGCAAGACACAAGCAAATATGCGTGGGACACGGACGAGAGAGGGGATATGGGTACGCCGGTAATCGGGGGTCTGGAAAATGCGGGGAATGAGGGCGGTACAGATCTTGAAGCTAGTTACAATTCAGGTCTCGTCGCCGCAGCTGCTGGCCCATCCTACCCAATTGCTGGGACTTCACCGGCGAACCGGTTTAGCGAAAGCCAGCCTCTTGCTTCAACGCTTCTACCACTCCCGCCAGCAAAACGACCAAGAGGGAGAGTTGTACCTGTGACGCCTACGGCAGCAGCAGCTCCTCAACCTGCAGAAGGCTCTTCGTTGGTGACGGTGCTTGAACGCATGAATCAAGAGAAAGGCAAGCAGATCGAGAAACTGGAGACCAAAATTGAAAAGCTGGAAGAAAGGCTTGAAAAGTTGGAAGAAAGGCTTGAAAAGCTTGATGATCGGAATAGGAAATCGGAGATTCGGAGTGGAGTCTTCGGATTGCGGCTCATCACTAGAAAGGACGTAAATGGGCGGGCAACTGGAGAAAGGGGTGGAAAGCGTAAGAGAGGGAGCTCTATGGATTTTGCGTCAATGGCCCAATTAGAAGAGGGTAGCGATGACGGGGACGGAGGGGAAACTATTTAGTTAATCAAGTTTGGTTCAGAGGTTATTGAGGTCATTTCAACATGTGGTTGATGGTAATCTGTGGACTACTGATGGGTTTGATGCGGGTATCGGAGTTGGTTATTAATGTTCCGGTTTGTGGGGTGTCACACGAACCTGACAGGGCAGCATAATGGTAAAATTGTTTATGTTTGTATTGCGGTACTTTGCCAGAGCATCAGCGTCCCCAGAAGGCATTCATCGTACTCGTTTTGTTTTTGTTTTTTACGGCTCCTTCTGTGTTGATTTAGAGAGCTTCCTCGTGGAGGTCTCATCTGACTTTATAATACCTTCTACCCTCTAGCCACAGATACCCGGTCAGAAGTATGATATAATATCAGAAAACAAAGAACGACATTAGAGAATAGAATTTTCGGCTACTAGAAAGAAAAAAAAGAAATCACTACGGACTTATGAAATCAGCATAGAAAAGGGGATAATAAAGAAAAGATGCCTATGTACTGGAGCGAATTTCAAAGGGTAAATACGCGTTGAGCAATAATGATACAGGAAAGTAACTTAAGTTGAGACATCCGTTTTTTTGTAACAAGCCCATAAATGTGGCGGTAAACTAAAATAATGATTATGCAATGGGTTATACAGCGCTAATAAGTCTAGGAAATTAAGGTGGTTAAACGTATATCAGGGTAATTTAAGGACTCTGGACTCGTCTCCCAAGAACTTTCTGCGATACGCCACAATCCCGGCGATCACTGTCATGAAGTCTTTGATCCCCTGAGCCTTTAGTTTCTCTATCTCCTCCCTAAGGCCTTGGTTATAAAGTGCCTGTTCGATTTCTGTCTTGCCCTCTTTTGCGGAGGCCAATTCGACAAGAATATCGGCATCTGGTTGTTTCCATTAGCCCAAGAGATATTCAAAGGGAGAGGGGATATACCGGATACTTCAAGTTCTCTAAAATGTTGGTTCAAACAGGTTCGGTCATTACATATACCGCCGTTAAATTCGAACAAACACATCTGCTTGAGTGGCTGAATGCGGTTCGTATATGTGAGACTTTTGTATCCACCAGGAACCATTTCGAGATATCGGGGATGGTAGCGAAATGACTTGAAAATTGATAAGGGCGAAACGTATTCAGTGAAGACATCGTTAGGTGGTTTAAGGTAAGTGCAAATCTATAAAACTCAGAACCACAAACGCAAAAGAATTTTATGGTGAGATTCGTGGTTAGCGAACGACAGAATTATGGGGACAAGTCATCAAACATAGGATTAGACATCGGGGCAAACCTTGCTGCTAGCTACAACTTCGTCGGGGGCGTGATGGTTCTTTTGCTCGGGCACTATTCTAGATATATTAGCCTCACCAGATGTGTTCTTGATCGTAGCCTCATCTTGTGGTTTGAGAGATTGTCCTGTAACTACTGCGCGAACAACTTGTGGGCTTGTTTTATTATCTCTCGTCGGCTTGTCCCGAACCTGTGGTCCTGCTATTATTTCTTCACTAGAAGAGATATTTTCATTAGAGCTTGAGGTGGTTGATGACCCGGAAGATGGATCATCATTAGCAATGTCCCCATGAACAGAGTTCATATATTCAGTATCAGCATCCATATCGATGTCGATGTCCATATCCGACTCATGGTCATTGGCTTGGCTACTCTTTGAAGCGCTCTTATCGTCAACATCCATCACTTCATGCGGTCTCGTTTCAAAGGATTGAGTTGCAGGAGCTAGAGTTGCGGCCTGCTGGGACTGGAGTTGATTGGAAGCCTGTATCTCATTGGGCGATACATTAGCTGAAGCGGTTTTGTGGAAGGTTGCTGGTCTATTTCCTACGCTTGCTGTAGAGCTATTGCTGGCCACTGGATGCTGGCTATGAGTGGATTGGGCAGGGACTGGAAATTCCTGAGGGTGAAGAGGGGACTTGGGGGAAAGCGACAAAGCTTGGCTATTCTGTGAGGAAGATGGGCCAGGGGGGAAGTTTTCGGCATCCGTTTTATCATCTATAATCGAGGTCAATGCATAAGCGTTCGTTCGTGACTTTCTTCTGCCGGATTATCTCCCTATTTGTGACCGCAGTCAAAGTAACCCTAAAATGGGCGTAGCGAAGAGAATAGAGGGCCTTTTGGGCCGGGGGAGGGGTCTAGAGCTTGCTCACCTTCTTCAGTATGCTCCATACGCTTTTTCAGATTTTCGATTTCGGCAGTTTTCCTCCTAAGTGCTTCGTTGATGGATTCGGTGCTGCCCTCGACTGTGGTAAAACCGCTGCCACTTGCTTGTTCAAGTGTCTCCAATTCTTTTTCGAGTAAGAGTTTTTTCTCTTCAATCTCCATCTCCTCTTTCTCAATTCTCTCCATCTCCTCCCTGAGCCTTTGCCTTGCTGCCCTACTCTTTACCTTGTCGGCTTCAAAGGCCTCAAGCTTCTTCTGCTTCTCTTGCTTCTCTGCTCTTCTCCTCCTCTCCGCTATTTCAGATTCTGCTTGCTTTTTCTTTTCGGCCTCTTCCGCGGCTTCGAGCTCCTCAAGTTCTTCAAGGAGGAGTTTAAGTTTCTCTTGACTGGCCTCTTTCAGGGACTCCTTTTCCTTGGCCGAAGGAAATTGGTGTTGCTGACCCTTATCTGTTAGATATGCCCCATTACTTGCTATGCTTTCCAGGACCTCTGCTCTTGCAGGTTTGGATTGACTGTCGGAAGGCGGCGTTACTACACTATCATTATTTGGCGTACCGACTGATGTTGGGGTTGAGACACCGCGCTTTGCAGCAAGTTTCTTTTTGTGCTGCGCTTCCTGAATAGCTCGCTTGAGTGTCTCAATCTCTTCCATCTTAGATTGCAAAGCTATCTTGGCATGAGCACCTCCTGACCCATTTCTGTAGCCCGCATTGAGAGTTCCAGGGGGCGCCGTATTCACGGAACGCAGTGCTACGCTAACATTCACGGTACTTGCACTTCTTTGAACATGCTCGATCGGCCCGGGAGGACGAGCACCGGTAGGAGTTGATCTCGAGGTCCTTGCCTCGCCAAGTCCGGCGTCATCATCATCAACTTCATCAGTCCCCTCATCGTCATCTGAGACTTCAATAATGAGTCTTCCGAAGCGTTGTTCACCAAACTTACGTTTGGCAGGCTGGGGTTCAGAGTACAAATCCGATGCGACTGGTCTCTTTTTACGCGCATTGATTGGGCGTTCCAAAGGTGTAGCTGGAGATAAGACTGCGACATTTGTGCAAGCAGTTAAACCTACAGCAGACGTAGAAACAACAGGAAGAAGCTTGGGTTCCGGGGCGGTCGAATCTTTCATAACTGTATCAATGTGTTCATCTGCCTGGTTTGTTAACTGGATAAGCGGGCTGTTTGATATGTCCGCACCAGACTCTCCAAATGAGAGCCCCGGAATGCGTGGAACGTCCATGGAGGCTCTGGCAATAGCCGCAACAACAGGCATCGAGGAAACCGGCGTTGGGGCTTGAGAAAGAGCTTTTGCTGGGAGTTTTAACTCCCCTATTTTTCTTCTAAGGACTTCCTTCTTTGCTTCAACTTCTGCAGACCGTTTCGTTTTCTCGGCCTCTGCCCTAGCCGCTTCTCTTTCAAAAACCAATTCTGCAGCCCTCGCTTCAGCCTCTCTACGCTCTTTATCTCGAACGGACTTCTCCTTTTCTAGCTGCTTTCGGATCGTCCGGGCCTTTCGTTCGATCTCGGTTCTTTGGGGGGGAGCTGGTGCAAGTATTTGTCTAGTATCTTGCTGCGCCGCTTGGGTGACGTTGACATCCGCACCTGGAGACGGCGATGCGGCCTCAACCGGAACAGGGAAACCTAATCTTGTAAAAACCTTTCTGAGAACTCTTGGATTGATGCCTTCTTCAACCATGTTTGCGAATGTCACCTTTAAAGGGAGCATATTCGAAACAGCAGTTTCAGTCTCTTTGCGTAGAGCCTCAGGATTGCTGAGTAAGACTTCAGTTGGGAGTTGGGAGAAGGCCTGTGGCATCATGGAGTATGAAGGAACCCCGGTGGCCCCTCCATGAGATTGAGGTTGATGTTGAGGACCCGTCGGGGGCGATAGCTCAGGTTCGGCGAAGAGTAGAGATTTATGTTGGAGATTTTCTGTAAGAAAAACACGAGCGTAAGTAAGGGGCGAACCATCCATTCAGCATGGCATTCGAAAAAGGGGCAAAAACCAGACAAAGTAGCAAAGGCAACATGTAAAGCTGATGTACCTTTTTCAAATGACTCGATCTGTTGGTACTGAAAATCTGCAGGCCATATTCGGCCATAGGATAGTCCATTACCTGGAGGGGTTGGCAAATGAGCCGAAGATTGGTAAGCATATCCGGAATTGAATACGAGTGCATGATTACCCCGCGGCCGTGGTCTATAAGAATCGTCCCTTCACCGCCGTTCAATATTAGCATAGACAAATGGGGGTTCGATCAAGGCATTTACCGTGAGGATAAGGGCATGTTTGGCGAGTATGGTTGGGTTTGGCCATCTAGTCTCGGTGCTGGGAAAGAAGTTAGTGCTGGAGTAAATATAATATGTGAAGTGCCATTTACTGTAAGTTTCGAAAATTTGCTGTTGTTCCTCTCGAGCCTGTTGATTGCCTCCGATGCTATTTGACATTTCGTTAATGATAGTGCCTTGACCGTCTCCCTCAATATCAGACAGTTCGCCTTCTTCTCTATCCTCGACGGAAGTCCCGCCCGTCCGCTCAACGAGCTTACCCAATCCTGGAAGGGCTGGATCAATGCATGGAATCTGTGCTGTGGATGGTGGTAGGCGAGGAGTATTACTCGTAGCTTTCGGAAAATGGTTTGGAGAACGCGTAGCTGGTGAAGTTGGACTGCCTGTGGTATTACTGGTATTGGCGCTCGTCTTTCGATTGGTGTTAACTAGTACAGAGGGAAATCCCCCAAAGGCGGGAGTGGGAGGATAACTCGTCATCCCTCCTATAGGACAGTGTTAATACTTCGCACGCGTGTTTGCGCTCTATGACTTGAAACAAATAAATTGAATCAGAAAATAGAAAAGTTGTGCGAAGGGGATAAAGTTGGAAAGGAATGGCGGTGGCGGTTGTGGTGGTGGGGAATGAGGTCGCTTGAAGGAGGATCCCTTGAGTCAAGCTGGGCAAAGATTGTGCTGTAAGTAAATTAGGGTTAGTGAGTAAAGAGGGCGGCCAGAGGCTATGAACCGGCCCTCGATGTCTGAAGTCTAATCTGGTAGGTTATGGAGATGGCCCTGTTCCTGTGTCTACCGTACTCTGACCTGCTCTTGCCCGGCCTAGGGGGTCTTTTCCACAGTCGGCGAACCGTGATTATCTTCTTTCCTGCAAAGTCCTTGTTCCTGTCTTTGAGTAGCTAGTTTGCTCTACGATAGGTTCCTGATTCAAGCTGGTGCACGTAGCGCCGAGGTTTTGTGTCGGAGGTGCGATGGCACTGATTGCGACGGACAGATTGAGGTCGAGTACGTCGAGCCCGAACGTAGTCAAATATGGCAAATTATGACATTGCTTTGACTGTTCTGTCCCTTAAATGTTCTAAATGAGGCAATTCCTACGTGTCCTAATTGAGTCACGAGACAGGAGCAAAAAGGGCTGCCAAGATCGGCTATCTTCAGGCCCGCACACGGCTAGCACAAATCAAGCTCTTTGTTTATGTTTTGATGCAACCTACCAACTCGAACTTAACCGTCGGTCAAAGGAAGCTGGGCTATAGCACAGCTTTCCTCCATCACTTGCACCCCCCCATTCCATACATCCTCCACTACAGCCCTCGTTTTCCAACTTCTTTACCGGCATCTGTCGTTCAACTTCAATCCCTTTTCATAGCTAGGAATTGCCTTCACTCGTTTTCCCGGACTACCATGTCCGGTTTCAATCAATACACCACCTCCGGGTTCACCCCCCCGCAAAATCCTCCTGCGCTACTATCATGGCAGCAGCGCCGTTCAGCCCCTGGAGCCCACAGGAAATCTTCATCTTCTCCTTCCAATGGTCAAATATCACCTCCCTCTCCCGCAGCAGTAGCTACTTCGATGTCTTCCAACGACCCGTCTATACCGTCATTGACTTCTTCACCACCTCGGTCATCGATATCTCCTCCATCGCTTCCCGCACCACCGGTGCCATTAGCATCTACTCCGCCAAATAGGATCCATCGGCAATCTTTGTCTTTTTTTTCCCCATCAACTCTTTCAACTATCCCTCCACGGCATAACCGAAGTGGCTCTACTCCAAAAGGCATGCCAGGAACCTTCGCACCCAACTTTATTAAATCTACAGATGAGAGGCGGAATAGTGCCGCTAGCCTGGGTGCTGGTATCGCAGGAGAAAGTAGTGATTTCTCTGGAAGGAGGTGGGTATGGGTTAGGGATCCGGAGAAGGCTTTTGTGAAAGGGGAGGTGATATTGGATGAGGATGGAACTCTCACAGTCAGATGTGATGATGGTGCAGTATGTATGCCCAAGAAATGTTGTTGAAGATATTTGTTGCAGCATTCCTTGTTTTCTTGGTTCGGCTCTATTTTCAGCTCTAAAATTACGTTCGAATGAGTATCCGCTGATCTGAGACCACGATTAGGAGCGGATAGTGCACTCAGACAATGTCGATAAAGTCAACCCGGTCAAGTTTGATAAAGCTGACGATATGGCTGAGCTTACGCACTTGAATGAAGCCTCTGTGGTGTATAACCTCCAATTGCGATACCAGGCCGACTCGATATACGTAAGTTTGGCGCAAATTGAACTCATGCCCATTCAAAAACTAATGCTATTTTGTTCCAAAGACATATTCGGGCTTGTTCTTGGTGACAGTGAACCCTTATTGCATGCTACCCATATATAATAATGAGTACATAGCTATGTATAGAAATCGGTCAAGAGAAGACACCAAGCCTCATATATTTGCTATTACCGATGCCGCCTTCAGAAACATGCTTGAGATGAAAGAAAATCAAAGCATCTTGGTAACGTTAGTACATATAATCTAAGAATCCTAGCCTGCAGGGTTGCTAACATTTTCTGGCAGGGGAGAATCTGGGGCTGGAAAAACAGAAAATACTAAAAAGGTCATACAGTATTTGGCTGCGGTTGCCTCCGATAATTCATCATCACGACAACTAGGAACATTAGAGCTTCAAATCCTTAGAGCAAATCCCATTCTTGAGGCCTTCGGGAACGCACAAACTCTTCGAAATAACAATTCGTCGCGATTTGGCAAGTTCATACGAATCGAATTCACAAGGTCTGGGCATATCGCTGGCGCGTTCATTGACTGGTATCTGCTTGAGAAGAGTAGAGTTGTGCGGCAGGGGGAGGAAGAGAGGAACTATCATGTTTTCTACCAGCTTTTGAGGGGAGCGAGCAAGCAAATGAAGGATATGTATTTGTTGGGTGATGAAGGCATCGGCGCATGGAATTACACCAAAGACAGTAACAATTCGATAGCGGGTGTTAATGACACAGACGAATTCCGGTCACTGATGGAAGCTTTCCAGATAATGGGTTTCAGTTCCGACGAACAGATTTCAATCCTTCGGGTCATAGCTGCGGTTTTACATATTGGAAATATTCATGTTGTCCCAGAGCGCCGTGGCAGCGAAGACGCACGATTAATGAATCCTAGCCAGGTCGAGAAACTATGCCACGTGCTAGGAATACCTTTGGATGGCTTTGTTAAAGGACTACTCAAGCCTAGAGTAAAGGCTGGCAGAGAGTGGGTCAACCAATCAAGGACAGCTGAGCAAGTGAAACACAGTCTTGATGCTCTTGCCAAAGGGTTATATGAGAGAGGGTTCGGTAGACTTGTTGAAATGATCAATAATAAGCTTGATACCAAGGGCGATAGAGATAGTTTTATTGGAGTTTTGGATATTGCTGGTTTTGAAATTTTCGAGGTATGTCTATCTAATATTATTACGAACCCGATAGCTCATGATCTCCCAAAACATTTAGTCGAACAGCTTTGAGCAGCTTTGCATTAATTATACTAATGAAAAACTTCAACAATTCTTCAATCACCACATGTTCGTTTTGGAGCAGGAAGAATATGCAAAGGAGAAGATCGAATGGAGATTCATCGATTTCGGACACGATTTGCAGCCAACCATTGATCTTATAGAACTACCCAATGTAAGTAAGATATCTTGGCTCTCCTTCCGATTGCTAACACCTCGTGTTGTCAGCCTATCGGTATCTTTTCCTGTCTTGATGAAGACTGTGTGATGCCCAAGGCCACCGACAAGTCCTTCACTGAGAAATTACACTCGCTCTGGGACCGCAAAACCCCGAAATACAAGCGATCTTTACTAAAACAAGGCTTTATGCTTACCCATTATGCCGCCGAAGTTGAATATTCTACTGAAGGATGGTTGGAGAAAAATAAGGACCCGTTGAATGAGAACATCACGAGGCTTTTGGCTGCTTCTCACGATAGCCATATCTCCTCACTCTTCGCTGAATACGCCGAGGACGCGAGCGAGGCAGGAAACGTGATTAAGAGTCGTGTGAAGAAGGGGTTATTCCGCACTGTGGCCCAAAGGCACAAAGAACAGTTGACAAGCTTGATGGCTCAACTCCATTCAACCCACCCCCACTTCGTGCGATGTATTATACCTAATCATCAGAAGAGACCCAAGAAGTTAAATGCGCCACTCGTTCTGGATCAGCTCAGGTGCAATGGTGTATTGGAAGGGATAAGGATTGCGAGAACGGGATTCCCGAACAGATTGCCGTTTGCAGAGTTCCGACAGCGATATGAAGTCCTGACACCGAAGATCCCTAAAGGATATGTTGAGGGCCAAAAGGCTTGTCAACTCATGTTACAACAGCTTAATCTCGATAGTTCCTTGTTCCGAGTTGGTTTGACAAAAGTCTTTTTTCGCGCAGGGGTATTGGCCGAATTGGAAGAACAGAGAGACACCTTAGTACGAAAGATAGTGACAACTTTCCAGAGTATCGCCAGAGGATATCTACAGAGAAAGATCGCAAGTAAAAGGCTATACCGTGCAGAAGCAACAATGATTATTCAGCGGAATCTGCAGGTGTACCTCGACCTTTGCGAAAGCCCTTGGTGGAAGCTGTTTATGAAAATGAAGCCACTGCTCGGAGCTACTCATTCCTCCAGCGAGGTCAAGAAAAGGGACGAGATGATCCAGAAGATGGAAGCGCATATGCAAGCTGAAGCTGAAAATCGTCAAAGGCTTGAAGAGGAGAGGAGGAAGGCAGACGCAGAGCTGCACAAAGTTCAAAAGACTCTCGAGAGCGAGAGGGCTCTCGCATTGGATAAAGAAGAAATATTTAAGAGAATGCAACAGCGGGAAGCGGAGTTGAGTGAGAAACTTGCTGGTGCTCTTGATGACCAGGATGTATTGGAGGACCAGATAGACGAATTGATGTCAGCGAAGAAGAAGGCGGATGAGCAAGCGGAAGCCTGGAGGAAGGAGTTGGAGCAAGCGGGGGATTTGATTGCAAAGCTCGAAGATGAGAAGCATGAAATGGCGGCAAGATTAGAGTTTCTAGATCGTGAGCTTGAAGCAGCCGAAAAACAGAGAGCGGAGAGAGGTGATGCCGAGGATAGGCTGGAGCAGGAGGTGCATTTGCTGAAGAGTCATCTCGCTCTCAAAGAGCGGAAGATACATGACTACGAAGAAGCCCTCAGGAAATCAGATCATGAGCTGGATGAGAAGCTTTCTCAAACGGTACGTCTCAGCGCGATGCTGTTACTATTGTCCAGCTAACGTTGAGAATAGAATTTGAGTCTGCAAGAGGGACAGAAACAAATAAGGGAGTTAGTCGACGAGAATAGGAAACTTAGGGATCAACTCTCGGATCTATCTTCCACCTCCACCGGATATGAGGACCTTGTTCGTCGTAAGGAGAGTGAGCTTTCACTCCTTCATGCCGACCTCAAGAAGATGGAACTTGAGCGAAAGGCATTTGATGATGAGAGACGTCAGTTAACGCAGAAGCACGACGACATATTATCGAGACTTCGAAGTGCTACATCTGAAGTGGAAACCTTGAAACATGAGACGGCCTGTCTGGAGAAGGAAGCTGCCGATGCACGTAAACTCCTGGAAGCGAAGATATCAGAGGATCATAAGTCTGGGCAGGGCCGGCGTCTTCTAGATGAGCAGATCAAAGAGATGAAAGTAGAGCTGTCCATATTGCAGACCGAATTAAACAAAGAGCGCCAATCTAGGGCCGATGTTGCACTTCTCAGTGAGCACAAATTCAACAACCTCATGCGGGATCATGATGCTATGAGCACTGCGAAAGTAACCATTGAAAAAGAACTTTATTCGCAACAAGACACCCTTCGGCGCGCCCTAGAAGCACGATCCCAATCAGAGAAGGAGAAGAGAAACATCCAGGCCGAGTTGAAGATTGCGAGAGATCGCCTTGCGGAGGCTGAAAATGCTAGGACTCGAGCGGAATCTGAGATTGAGAAGAGCCTTTCCCGACAAGCGAAGGAGAAGGAAGCAAGACTAGAAAAGGATCTTAAGGCCAAAGAAGAAGCACTCTCTATTTGTGAAGTAGAGCGGAAGCGACTCGCTACTGAGGTTACACGGCTCACCCGAGTTGCTAGTGAACAAGATTCCGCACGCCAGGCCTACGAGAACTCAAGGAAACGGACCGAATCCGAGGTTAGTGCGGTGAAGAATAGGCTCCTGGCCTCCGAAAACGACAACCGCGCGCTACAAAACAAGATTCAGCAAAAGAACCTCGAGATCAACAAAGCTAATGCGAAAGCGAGTGAGCAGTATCGGGATAAGATTGTTTCTTTAACAGCTGAGAAGACTAAAGCCGATGAAGAATGTCGGAGGTTGAGGAAGCAATATGAGGACGCCCAAATACAGATCCGTGCCCTTGAGAAACAGAAGGAGAAGCTTTCACTAAACTTGGAGGATTTGAACCATGAAGTTGCACGCGAGCACAAGACAACTAGGAACGCAGAAAAGACCGTCTCAACTGTTCAACTTCAACTCGCCGAGGCTAACAGGACCCTGGAGATGGAGAGACAATTGAAGTCACAAGCCCAGGCGAACACACGGCAGATCCAGAACGCGTTAGCAACTGCTAACTTCGAACTTGAAGACTGCCATCAACAACTACTCACTCTCCAGAAAGTCTTCAGCCCACAGGGTGAACAGCTTAAGAACTGGGAATCAGGCAGGACAAGCGTTGCCCAGTCTGTGGATCTTGCCATGAAGTTGGAGGAGTCGAATCAAGCTCTCCGGGTTGCTAATGAGAGGCGGACTCGTGTCGAGAAAGAGCTTGCAGAGTTAAGAAAGAGGCACCAGGATGAGATGGTGGAGATAGATAATATGCATTCCTCCTCTAAGCGCGCGCTCTTTGATGAGATGAATCAGAATCATCTACCGTCCAATGGATCCCCCAGACCCTTCAGAGCACTAAATAGTAAACCCTATTCCAACCAGTCAACCCCTACACGGAAGACTCTTAACTTTGCGGCGGAGGGCTTCGATTCTGGAAAGACCGACAAGACGGTGGATACAATGGCGTTCCAAAGGAGAATGGATCTTGCCACCGAGCTTGAAGAAGTTCAGAACCAATTACAGCTCTCAGAAATGCAAGTCAAGCATCTACAGGCACAACTAGATCGAGCAGCAGCAAAAGAGAATGCTGCCGAGCAGAGCCCATCTGCTAAACGAGCAGTTAAGTTAGAGCGTGAAAATAGCCGACTCCACGATTTGCTTGATGAATCAGATCAGAAGAACTCCGCGCTCGAAGCCTCTATGAATCAAATAGAACTATCTTTGAAAGAGGTTCAAGCTAAGAGCCATGAAGAACTATACGATTTCATTAGCACCCAAGAACAATCGCGCCGCCATTTGGCGATGGTTTATAGCGAAACTGTCTCTGACCTTTCTAGAGCTAAAGACCAGTTCGAGAAGATCAAGGCAGCTAAAATCGCAATCGAAGATGACCTCCGCGAGACCCAAGCCGAGCTTGACGATGCTCTATCGATTCAACAACAGGATAAAGTTAGTAGGGCCCAGCTACTCAACGAGTTTGCGGACTTGCAAATCCGGTTGGACGCGGAGGCTTCCAAGGCTGCCGACCTCACTGCGAGCTTGAATCTTTACAAGACACGAAGTGAAGAGTACTTCAGCAAACTCGAACAGGCAGAAATATCGGTTCTTAAAGCATCCAGGGCCGAAGCGTTCGCAAAGAGTCAAGCGCGGGAAACAGAGGAGACTGCCGCATCTGTATTGGCGGAGAGGAGGCACCTCGATCAACTAGTGGAAGACCTCCAAAGGCAAAACCAACATTACGAGGAGAAGGTTGAAGACCTGTCTGCAGATCTGTCCGCAGCCGTCCAGGCAAAGAAAAGGCTCCAGAACGAGTTGGATGACTACAGAAACAGAAGAGCTATCGATCTAGAGGATAAAGAGAGCTCTATGGAGCAAACCAGGAAGAAGTATCAGACCGAATTATCAACACTGACCGGCGAGTTGGAAATTGAAAGAGAAAACGTTATCCAGGTCAGGCAAGAAAATAGGTACGTTCCAGTTATCCCCATATCCGTTCTTCTACGGCGCAAGCTAACTTTAGTTCCCCAGAAACCTCCGAGAGGAAGTTGAAGATCTCCGGGCAAAATGGGATGATGAAGTCCTTAACAGTTCGACATGGGCAAAGGAGAAATCTCGCCTCGAGATTAAGCTTCAAGACCTTTCTCAGTCCCATGAAGATGCTGTGGCAGCGCATAGCGAGGCTCAAACTCGCGTTGTATCTCTCCTTTCCCAGGTCCGTAGTCTCCGTGCCAACGTCGACGAGGTGGTTGGCGAGCGAGACATGCTACAAAAGGAGAAGCGCGGTTTGGAGCAGAGATTGGTTGAAGCTAGTCAGCGGCTTGAGGACCTGGCCAATAGTGACAGCCCGTCGATGCGTAATGCGGCCGGGATGGATAGGGAGCTTCTTGAACTTAAGGGCTCTCTTCAACAGCAAGAGGATATCGCTTCTGCTGCAGTAGAGAAGATGCGTCGCGCAGAGGCATTAGCAGCCGAGACACAGAGAGATATCGCTGCCGAAAGAGAGACTAACGTTAGCCTTCACAAGGAAAAGGCCCAACTAGAAAAACTGGCGAAAGACTTGCAATTGAAGCTTGTGGATCTAGAGACCAAGAGCTATTCAAGCACTTCACATGACATCAGATTTCTACACACTAGAGTACAAGAGGTACGAACCCTATGTTTCTGCCCTCCACAAACAAAAACCGGCTAATCCCTCAAATAGCTCGAAGAACAGCTCGAAGAACAGGAGAAGGAGAGAAACAAGAGCGAGCGCTCGGTACGAAATGTTGACAGGACAGTTCGGGATCTGCAAGCGCAAATCGAGAGAAGAGACAAGGCAAATGCCCAGCTCGAGGAAGAGATCAACAAGGGCAAGGATAAGCTAGGAGGATTATTGAAGACGATCGAGGATCTCCAAGCTTCCGATTCCGAGCACCAGTTGACTGCCAGGAGAGCAGAGAGGGAAGCTCGCGAAGAAAGGGAAAAGAGTTTGAGATTGGAACGCGAGCTTGAGGGATGGAAGGGGCTGAGACTGGATAGGAATCACAACAGCCGAAGCGGAACTCTCGCAGCATTGAGCCAAGTGGGAGAGGACGAAGCTGAGAGGAAAGGCAAGAGGCACTCAGTTAATTTCCTGTGATGGAGGTCTATTCATTAGTGGTATGGTAGGTTTATGGGTTTGGGTTTATGGATTTCCCTTTAGGTTGGTTGGTCGGTCGGTTGAGATACGAGAGCATTGGCAGGTAGGCAAGGCTACTCATGGGTGTGATGAACTTTCGTAACGGCGTGGTGTCTGCAAGAGCGTTTTTCCACTTTTTTTTTTTTTATAATCATTGTTTGGTGATATGGTCCGGCATTGTTTTAAGTTTCATGTGCATCGGTATTCACTCATGTCTTACTTATGAGGGCCAACTGGGGTTTCTCTGTTTCTGTATATCTGTTTCTGTATGATATCATAGGGACTGGTTGAACGTGGGGAATGATCCCACTTGCCTTCGGGTTTCACGATTGATAATCTGTCTACAACAGCTACTATGTTCAGTTAATGATTTGTCGGGGCAGGGTTATTGTGAAATATACTTGCACTCCGCAAGTACGCTAGCAACTTTACTTACCGCGCTGTAAGCGAACCGGTATGCCGTCCTCAGTTTAGGATCCACTACGGTGACCGACACCAGAAATGCTCCTAGACCGGCAGGATGGGGGTCATGCATGATCTTAGCACTTGCGGCAGCAACAGCAATTGTCAACCTTTCCATAGTCCATGGCGGAACAAGGCTTAAGCCGACACCTCGAAAACACTATCCCCGTGGCCCAACAAAGGTTCGCCAAAATAGACATAATATCCGACTCTAGCATCCCTATATATAGAAAGAAAGAAGAGGGAAAGAAGAAGGGGCATTCAGTCGCAGTCTCTCCCTTTACTATTCATGTCTTCTCCTTTGTTGGGTTACAACCCCCAATCATATAATCTCACTCGTATTTCGTTTCCCTCGCTTTGGTTTGGTGACTCCCGCTGCTCCGGGGTCGAAATCCCGAGCTCGGCTGCTTTAAGGTGTTGCCCCATCATGCGGCACATCCCATTGTACGATATTTGATTATAGAGCGCAGCGCTTACAGTTTCTCGAATGTCACCTCCACAATCTATTCCGTGGTACGAGTACAGTACTCGTGCCGTAGCAAAGCCTTTGCCAAGTGCTGTACCACCTTGAAGCGGAGGGGTGTCCGCTTCAAGAGACGCAAATTTGGGGGCTGTGAGTCCTTTGGATCTGTGGGGTACAGTGATGCTTTTTCAGGCCTGAAATAGTTCATGGTTCGAGTACCTTGGTCTTGCACTTGCTCTGCTCATGCGATCACGAGTCTATTAGGGTGTCCTAATCGGTTATAATACTTTTTCGGGGCTGTGTCATACTACGCTGGTACAGTACTGTACAAGTATTGTACTGTACATACAGTGTTACCTATTATCCTACCATGCTCTTTATTCTGTTCGATCGGCGGTCTTGCTTCGTTTGTGGGGAGGTTTACTGGGCTTCTGTCTGGACTATTTGGAATATTGTATCGTGCTGTTTGAGTGTTTGTGCTCTGGGATTAATGGCATTCCTCTGACACCGGTAACTTAGACTATTGTGCTGTGCCGGCGCTGTAGCGTCCGTTTTCGACGACGGGGGTTTGGTTTGGTTGCCACCACACATGCCAACCGCCAACCCGTGGACTGTTATGATATGATAGAGCTTTTGTGCTATTAGCCCTCTCTCCCTGAGAGTGAATCCAATGGAGGCGTGAAGCAGGTTGGGGGGGTGGGTGGTCTTAAATGCGGTTGTTGGCTCCCTTTAGCCTACCGCCGCGTTTCCCTTTGTGCCTATATTATTCCCACCAGCCCCTTCGAAGCTCACTTCGAGCTTTCTTGGTTGTCTTCCGTTCTTTTACTTCTTCTCCCTCTCCCCTCTTTGCTTCTCACCCCTCTTTTTTCTTCCCTCCCTTCTTCCTGCGATATCTGTCTTCGATAAATTTTTTTCTTCTACTCGTACAGTACCGTACGATAAACTGTGATCTCGGTTATCGTCTAAAGTAACCAACCATGCGTTATCTATTCGCCGCTGCACCTTTCGTTCTCCCGGCGCTGGGCGCCGCCGTTGCTACTATTGATCGACCTCTGGATGAACTTCTAAGGGGATTCAAAGGTTCGGAGGAATCATACGCTGTTCGCCACCACAAGGGCGAGTCTTTCTTGACGGCTAGGGTTGCGTGCAACGGGTGTAGGGCGTATGCCGGGTCGAAGGATCAGAACGGATTGAAATATGTTCCAAACATGGGTTTGGAAACTGATTTGGTAGGTCTTAATCTATTCATTCACCATTACATGCGCATCGGAGCTAAACTGTGACGTAGATATTCGACCTCCGAATCCCAAATGATGAGCCGACCACCCTTAAAATTAATGATGCTGGTGTCATCCCATTTGGCCCGAACCTTGTTGTAAAGGCATATCAGATCCCCCGCCAAACCAGAGCCGAACATTTCCTTTTCGAGACCGCCGAGAGCGAGTGGAAGAACTTGCCCATCGGATATGACCTCATGCTCCAGTCCTCAAGAGAGGGCCTAGAATCAACCCAGAAGCAGGTTATAGTGAGCTTTAGGGTCACTAGCGTTGGTAACGAGAGGAACGATGCTATTCCGGAGCTTGAGATTGTGGTCAACGAAGAGTTGGCCACTAAGAGGTTGACGATGAAGTCGGTGTTTGTTAAAGAACTTGCTGGGCCACCTTTGGTATGGCTGGATGAGCTTGAGGAGGTGAAGGACCTTATCCCACTACTTGGCTTACCCCCTCTTCTCGACGCACCTGCTGCTTTTGACGACACCACGCCTGTCGATGTGGACATTGAGATTGAGATGGAGAAGGTTCCTTGTGGGACTAACTTCCGTTGCATTTTGGACCATGCCATTGATAACCTACGAGCCCTCAAGGATAGCGTTGTGGGTACCAAGGCTCCCTCCGCCCCGCCCGCTCCTCCCCGCCGCCCATGCAACAAACAGAACCAAAAGGAGCCAAATCTGGATGACGAGGTCGTATCCGCTCTCCCCATTGACCTTGACTTTCCGGAGGACCCCCATTTTGTGGATTTCGATTCCCTTCGTACCGAAGAGAAGCTTCCACTGGGGCTCAGCCTCTTGAATATGCTTTCAAAGATTGTGTTCCCCGTCTTCATTGGAGTCACTGCTGGTGTGGCGGTCAGCCTCCTCGGTCTTATCTTGGGTCAACTGTTCATGTTGGGGTGGAAGCGCATCCGGGCTTCTAGGAAGGCTAGACGTCACTACAAGAAGTGCAAAAGCTCTTGTGAAGCTAGAGCTATGTTGCCCATTGAGGAAGAAGAGGACCTTCACGAGTATAGAGATGAGGGGATTGAAGTTGTTGAGAAAGAATAGCCGACGAACCCGATTCAACTGTTCGAT